GCAACCAAGGTAACCCCCCCCCCACCTTATCACCTGAATCTCCTCCTAGGGCATCATTGAGTTCTTTTTAACCAAATCTCTCTCAGAGGGGCGTGGGGAGGGGCTCCTTATTTTCATCCAAAGTAACAGACAGAGAACCAGCACTTTTGAAACAGGGCTGAAACAGAGGGGATTATGGGTAATGCTGCAATGATCTGTTTGGTGTTTGGAGGCAAACACTTCAGAGACATGCTCTGTATATATCTGAGACCTATAATATATTGATGAAAAACAGTATAATAGGGGACCTTTAAGGCTATGAAATGCAGAGATGTGCTGCTGACAAAGAGCGACCTCAGAGGTCTGGAGTTTCTGAATGACCCCGATGTCTGGCCCAATGACTGACCCCTGGATCAGGACTGTCACTCTCAGTGTCTGAAGAAACATTAGCTGTCAGCCTTCAACAGCTCTGACGCCGCTACAGAAACAGCAGGGTAAAAGCTAGAAGGTTCCTCATTCAGTTTCCAAGAGAGGGCGAACTCTATTTCTGTAGCCAAACGTTCTCAAATAAGGTATTGAGCAGTGAAAAGTGTCATGAAACCCAGACATGTTTAAAAGACCTAGGGGACAGAAAATGCAAAACAATATGTAGTCAGGTCAGAGGTCAACTGTGCATGCCGTTTCAAGGAGCATACTGTATAAGCTGTGAGATTCTCTAAGACTCTAGGAACATTACGCTGTAGACTGCTTTGTCAAAAGGTAATGTTGTCTCTTATAATACTGGACAGTAATATCATATGTGTCTTCAACCATCTCTGTGTTTGTGTTTGATTGATTCCTTGTTTATTCTTTAAATGATGTGAGTGTTAGAAATCGGATCCGAGACAGCAGTGTGGTCTGCAGTGGACACACTAAACCAAGAGCGACATTCTGGGGTTGAACACAAGACAGTTGACAGGGATATTCTGCAGCTGGTTTAGGAAAACAATTTACCTAAACTTACACAAGTTTAGGAACAAACATACTTTTATTTACCACTACAGGATTCTAAGCCTAACCCAGTATATACTGTACTGTATATGTTGGGTCCACCTATCAAGAACTTTTGTTAAATAACTTACGGCCCGTCCACACGGCGGCGTGCGTTGAAGCTTCAACGCTTCTGCCCATTCACTTTGAATGGGGTGACGTCACGCTTTGCCAGACTGCATTGTGGTCGCTTCGCTTTGCTCGCCAATCAAATCATATGCCAGTACAAGCTCTAGCCAATCAAACCGCGTGCTTGTGTGTCCGGACAGTTTCAGACACTTCAACGCACAACGCCGTGTGGACGCTGCGTTACGCACTAAGCTGAGGAAAGTGACATTACATTTTATTCCGCTGACGCTGATATCCAAATAGACTTACAGACACTTCAATACCGTAGACATGCCTCACATTAGTAGTAGCTTATTTACCTCTTTATGTTACGTACTCAATGTACTTATTTTAACTACCAGTGGCAGATTTAGGATTGTAGGAGATGACATATTGAAGTTGTTGAGTGGGGGGGGGGGTGAACTCGCCTCATGAACTGTGAACTCGCCGGAGTCTCGCAGCGGGGCTACTGCGGAGGCATAAAGCAGACTCTTCACGCTAACGGAGGATCACTTCTTCTTAAGGGCAGGGAAGGCTACGTAGTACGCAGGCTACGTAGTGCGCAGGCTCCTGTCCCGCAGCTGCTGCCTCTCTGTTGGACTCCGGTACTGCACATTACTCTCGAGATGTTTAAAAAAAAAAAAGTGCTCTAAGTAAGACATTCAGGGCTTTTCAGAAAACATCCGGGGCTTTTCAGAAAACATTGAGTCCAAGTAGCCACTGAGCCGCCACTGAGCCTTACCGAATACAATTTTTGCCAAAACGTCACTAAGGACTTTTGTTACTTAATTTATGCAGTTAGCTTACGTAAATTGCATAACAAACTTCTTTTATGTAACATTAATATTTGATAACTAATAAAGATAACTTTATGCAAGTTCCATGACAAGCATAAAAAGCTTTCCTCCTGCTGTTTTAACACAGATGTTTTATTTATAATGTAGCAATATCAGGGAGAATCAGTGACATGAGTGATTTGACTGTTTCCCAAACTATTTGTCTACTATTTTCGGGACATTCGTAACCTCAATCCATGATTACCTGTTCTACCTGCAGTACCATAGATAAACAAGTACTGCACCTTCTCCCAATTTTGGCATTGACTTGGTACCGGGTTTGGATCTGGTATTTGAGTTGGGAGAGAATTTGTTGTCTCATGACCAGACCTGTAGACCATCAGTGCCAAAAGCAGTTCAGGGTTCACTATTTGTGATTAATTGCATATTTACTTGGAAGCATACATCGGAAAATCCCCAACTGAAATTGTCGTGATAAACCAAAAACGTAATTATTGAAAATGCAAACCATTCTCATATAATGCACATTCTTATTTAAATCTGTGTCATTTGTTCAAAGTGTCAATGCACAGACGGATGATAGTGGGGATGGTGGAGTATCATTAATGAGCTACAACGTCTTACTTTGGACCCTTAGGCAAGATAATTTAGCATTTAACAACACTTTTCTGTTTCTTGTCTTGATTTTTTCTACAGTATCCTACAATATTTAAATTTCAACTCAAGGTCAGAAAAGACATCTACCTGAGATGACTTTGCTCTTGGAAGATAGAAGCAGACATTCCTGTTCTTTGCTAGCTGCAGGTTATAGAAACCATCTGTCACTGAGGCTTGTTAAAAAAGAAAGTCCAGGAAGAGATGGAACTTCTTCTGTCAGGGATTCACCCCCGAGGGATAATAAGACTAATCCCGTTTTCAATTTCACATTCCACTGGATCATTTTCCCTTCTGAAGAGTGGTTGAATAAATAAGATCTACCTGAGAACTGAAGGTGCCTTACTGTACTTTATATATATATCAGTTTCCACCCCTCTCATTCCTCAGGTAGCTTTATTTCTCTGATGTGCCGTCGCTGTCCCCTGCTGGTGCAACTGGAAAATACTTTTTATAATATTTCAACCAATTCCCTTTTATTGTATCATTTCCTTTTTATTTTATCCAGTTATTTTTTAAATGATGGCTTGCAGATTATTCCAATTCTGTAAGACGTTTAAGTGTTTCACTGCTTGCTTGTTTTCCAGATGTGCATATAACCTTTGGATTTCCTTTATGATGCCCGATTGCACTTTATGTAATGTCAGATTGTATGTCTGTATGAGAAGATAAATGGATGAGGGTCTTTTTCCCAAGCAGCCTTACAATATGGTACAGATTAATAGGGAATATTTTAGGAACCACTGGGAGGCAGCAATGCAGTGGTTTGGAAAAGTACTCAGATCTTTTATTTAAATTAAAGTAACACTATTACAGTGTAGAAATAATCTGTTACAATTATAAGTCCTGCTTTGAAAATCTTACTTGGAGAAAGTACCAAAAAAGTGGCAAAGAAATATACTTAAAGTATTAAAAGTAAAAGTACACTTCAGAAAATTATTACTGAATGAGAATTAGTAATGCATTAATGTGTGTATCATTCTTTATTTTTGAAGCTGATACAGGTGGAGCTAACTTTGAAGGTCTTAATCCATAATATTACATCAAAATTAATCAGTAGCATTTTATAAAGTAACTAATTTCCCAAATTGGGATAAATAAAATAGACCATCTTATCTTATCTTATAAATAGTACTAAACTGAAAAGTAACTAATGTTGTCAGATTTTATTTATTTTTATTTATTTATTCATTTATTTAACAGGGACAGTGCACATTAATGAACATTTCTGTAAATGTGCCAGAGTTAGCCAAGAGGCTATTTTTCTTCTGTAGTCCCTGGACAGATTTTAAAAGTCAACCTAAAACACATTTCATTTTAAACAAGTAAATACAATGCATTTAAAACATGCAACAGACATTACTAGGATACTTAAATAAAACAATTTAAAATACAGAATATTAAAACAAAAACAAAAAAACAAAAAAAAAGAACATGTTAAAACACAGGCAGTGGGTTGTAAGGAGCAGAAGATTGGGTCAGTGCCGGCAGAGCTGATTCCCCACTAACCATATTTTGAGCTTTGATTTAAATAAAGTGAATGTGGTCTGGTCTCTGATTGGAGGTGGGATTGAGTTCCATTGCTGAGCAGCTTTAACAGAAAATGAAGACTNTTTAGCCATTCCTTCATTTCGCTCAATTTAACACTGCCTTTCATGCTCGGATTCAGTGAGACAGCGGAGACGCTGTAGTACATATTTCAGGCCAGATGGTGCTGTCTCACTGAATCCGAGCATGAAAGGCAGTGTTAAATTGAGCGAAATGAAGGAATGGCTAAAATGCATGATCCGTTTGTTATTTTGAAAAATAAAAAGTATAAATATGCCTTATATAGGTATTGTCCTACACTATGTTATTCAAATATAGCATAGGTCCACTTTAACTATTTCGAGTTCCCGACCATCGGCGGTCACAATAGTGCCAGTTTGGGAGGCACCACTGCGGCCAAGCCACATGATCTTGGTTTTAGTGGTGTTCAGGACCAGGCCAAGGGCAGAGAGATGTGACTGGATTCTCTGAAAACTATCCTGAAGAGTTTTCAGGACAGTATCTGGGGAAGGGCCAGCAGTGTTGTACAGAATACTGTCATCGGCATATAGGTGGATAGAGGAGTTGCCCACTGATTTCTCCATGTCATTTATATATATTGAGAATAGGATGGGTGCTAGAATAGAGCCTTGTGGTACTCCCTTAGAGGTGGATAAGGGCTGTATCATCAGATTTTCTGATTTTACACACTGGGTGCGCATGGACAGGTAGTTTTCAAACCAGGCTATCGATTGGTTAGAGACACCAATGCATCTAAGCTTTCCCAGAAACAGTTGGTGATCTACAGTGTCGAAGGCTTTGGCAAGATCGATGAAAATGGCAGCACAGTATTGTCTGGAGTCAAGGGCATTGATGATATCATTTAGGACTTTGAGAGTCGCCGTCTCACACCCATGACCTGCACGGAACCCAGACTGCATGTCAGATAGTATCTTGTAAGTCTTCAGAAACCATGTTAGCTGTTTTTTTAACTATGTGATTGTCCGATTCCTCCCGATCTTATTGCAGATGTTGGTGTTTGCAGCATTTAGTTTTAATAAACACTGCGCATGTTTCATGAAGTTGGTGAATGTTTTCTAAATGCTGCGCATGTTATCAAGTTGGTGAAGATCTTTCTTTATTTGCATGTGCACATGTGTGCTTTTATATTTGCATAGTTTTTTAAACTGTCGCGTGTTTCTCCTAATGGAAGTGTTTTGGGCCGTTCTAACGGGTTTGCCCCTGTCGGCCACCGTATATCTGAAGCCCTGATTATACTAAGGTTACTTACCATGAAAGTGCACCTGCTCACGTACAGGTGGTATAGACACAGAACACAATGAGCACTCAAAAAGTAAAAGAGCTTGAGGCCCAATTTTTTTTTAGGCCCATTGTTGTTTAAATACATATACAAATGAATCTTTGACCACAACCAACAGTCCATTTACCGTTATTGTAGAGAATAGAAGCACTCCCATACTTGATTCTAGACATCATAACTCAGTATTGTAAGTCAATTTAGACCTTTCGTAGGGAAATTTGGCAGAAAATACTGATAGTGAATACTGAAAAATGTTGTGGCTTAAACACTCTGTTTGTATCGTGTTGTTTGCTGAGACCCGCAGAATGATCAAAGCGGGTTGAAACGTTACCTTTGAGGAAGTGTGAGACGTCCTCCAGCTGTGGGATGTTGTCCTCGCTGTAGTTGCAGTATTTGGTCAGCAGGGGCAGGTTCTTCAGGTACTCCTTGCAGGCATGTCCGGGGTACAGCTTGTTGAGCTCCCTGTACACCACCCCCCAGGTACGCACCTCCTCTGAAGTGAAGTCTACACGAAGAATAGGATCGCCACTGACATACAGAAAGAGTCAGCTTTGTGACGTCAATACAATAGTATAGAATATTGGTGTAACAATGTAATGAATCAATAAATATTGTGTCATTTTGTGATACTGTATTATTGGATCTCAACAAGTATTACTTTGGTTTAACTCGTAACTATATAACTGATCCAATTTTCTGTCATTGCAGTAGGTCATTGAGAAAGCTGTACCACCACCACGTTTTTCATTTCAATTTTTTACATTTTATATTTGTAATTGACTAAACTAATTTTCGAATAGAATCCCATATTAGAAAGTAACTCAAATATCTTTGTCCTTCTAATGTAGTTTACACTAAGGGTTGTAGCCAGGGCAAGATTCTTAAGATGCATTAAATTGGTTAACAAGTAATTAAATGACATGAGTTGCTTTTTGTTTTGAAATGCTTTTACGTCAAACATTCTTCACATTTTAATTCCATCTAGCTTAATGTAGTCTGACACACTGAATTAGTAATCAAGGGACAAACAAAGTTTTGTTTAATTCAAAACTTATACAAAACTACAACCTTTCCTGACGTATTTGCTTGTTCACCCAAATTCTTTTGAGTTTGCCTTTATGCTTTATTTTCCTACTTGCTTTCTATTTTTCAAAAGTTATTTTTCTCAAAACTATTCATTTGATTTAGCCCTGCGTTGCTCTATTTATTTTATGTCTTGCAGGGATGACATCTTTTGGTGGGCTGTCCCAGAAGTTAGCATTGCAAGGGTTTCTCAGACAGTCTAAAACATGACCTTTGGCTAACAAATGTTTATGATACTTAATTTATTCAGCAGCATAATCTTCAAATATTAACACCACCTTTATAATAGTACTATATGATGCTCATGACTTCATTTAAAAAATGATTACTTTAAGACGAGAGAGCCCTTAAGTGCTTAAACGCCATTTCCAGGTTTAGGACTACTAGAAATGTACTCGTTATGTTTTGGGGTTGGTGTTCCCTGAAAGGGTTTATCCCTAAATGTTGAAACTGGTCACCTTAATTCGTTTTATTCATCAATGCAAAATGAAAGTGTTTGCATGACAGTCAAACAAACAATGAAACTTACAGTTTGTAGCTCATGGCCAAATCAGCAAAATATGTTCTTCTTTTACGGTACATGTTGTCTTTAAATCCCTGCAAAAACACACTCACAATATCAGTATCCATCTTCATAACTGTCTTATTCTATTAGTAAAGAAGCACCTCTGTGACTGCCCTACATACCGGATGGTCAGCATCTAACTCAGAGCCATACATCAAAACCCTGTTTGCTGACAGATCCAATTCAGAGATCTTCTGTGGGAACCAGGGGACAGCCATATCTGAAACACAATATGGAAATATAGAAATATGTTAGGTTCTGATTTTCTGTGTCGATATTAACAAAACAGCCCCTGCATTTTAACCATATACAGTGATAATGTTGGTTGTAAGGTTTTTTTAGTACAGTCAAAAGTCATCTATGGCTTACCATCCTCAGGTATAGTGAAGTTCTCTGATGGAGTTATCTCAACTATATCAGTATGCTCCCTTAGCAGCTGAGTCAGCTCCTTGAGCTGTTCATTGTCAGTGTCACAATCCACAAAGATCTCAAAGTCGGAATTTCTACGTTTGGACTTGCGGGACTCAATGTGAACAAGGTTGACGTGTTTTTCCTGCACAAACATAACATAAAAGATTAACTTAACAAGTGTTAAAGGTTTGAAAACATTGATCAAATTAAATGAGATAAGAGAATTTCAACCGAAAAAGATAACAGTTAACACTTTGTTAAAACATAAGAGTTAATAAAACACTCACCTGAAAAAGCCTAAGTGCTTTGATGAGACCACCGACTTCATTTTTCAATGAAAATATTATGGTTGAAACATCTCTCTTGGAGCTGGTGGGCCTTCCAGTGGAGACGGTCCTATTGTCTTGATGCTCTCCAAATGTACTGGCCTTGAAAAATGGATATTGTAAACATCAGTGAGCAACAGAAATAGTGAGACTGTAAATAAAAATGGATCGAAAACTTTTAGTGTAAACATAAAAATAAAACTAGTTCTTATGGCACGTTTTGGTTTAACGCATGCTCATTTACATTGTATTCACACAGAGCGTTCAACAGCGCTCTCTTGAATTACATGTTGAAATTCTCTCTGCATGCACTTTGCATCACATGCGCGTCCCACACTACTGCCCTGTCTGAGCCAAAACACATCAGGTACCGTTTAATTATATTACTGGAGCGAATATATTTCATATTTTCTATTTCTATTTCTGTTAACATGCGGATCATAGCTTCAGTCAAAGTGCACCATTTATAACTTGTTAAAATATTATAATTTTTTTCGCTAGCTAGCTTACTGTGACCATGTGGGATGTAGCTTGATTAGCATGCTAATTAAAGAGTTTGAATTAATGTTTTTTCATAAATGTTTTTTGCACTTTAAACTCTTAGTTTGCACAAACACATATTGTCATCTTACATTGTTAAAGTTTCTTTCCCCATTTGTTGTTAGCTGGCTAACTCACTACATGACACTTCACATAGTATATGACAAATTGATGTCTATTCGACAAATGAATGTGCAATGTCTGCTTGTGAAAGGTTTGACCAGCCGTGACATCAACGCGTTTCAGATTTGATTTCAACCTATTTTAATTTCTGTCATCATGGTAGAATGTGGTCCTGGAGACACCAAGGCCCTAATCCGTATAAACCCTAGGAATTTAACTGACGTCAATGTCTAAGTGCTTGAGTTTGAGAGAAAGCGGGTGCTTTAAATGGTTTAATCAGGAACTAGACACTTCGCAGATTCTGCAATCACACAAAAAATCTGTTTAAAGAGATTACACTGAGTCAGGATTAGCCTGCAGTGCACAGCAGCACTCACACTACATGGCAGCATTCAGGTAGGTGACTGTTTCATGACATACTACGGAGCAAAGGTCGGCCCAGGTGACTGTGTCACAGTCGATAAGCAGCTTGTGCCATTTAGAAGCAGCTTTTATAATATCATCTAGGCAAACCAGCAAAAATATGAAATAAAAGTCTGCTGGATCAGTGATGCAAGGTTGCCTGTATAGCATTGAGAGAGGTGGACGGGAGTGAAAGTTATTTTACTGTTGGAATCAGACAGACAGGTGATTAATATGCGGTGCCCTCACAAATAGAATCAAATTCTGTGGGAAACACTGACGGCCATAATGAAACAATCTAAATCCAGGGATTTCAACTGCTCTTACATTTGATTCAACAACACTGGAGCTATGCTCAGTTCAATCAACTGAAACGTCTTTTTCCTTCCTGAGCCTAATGCATGAAGCAAAGTGGTGGATAATAGGGTGAAGGGAAAGCAAGATTTGGAACGGTCCTACAATAGAACAAAAAGTAGACACAATTAATCAGATGACGTGCGCCTACACATGCATAAGAAATAAATGGCCCATGGTGCTCTGGCACAACATGCTGGATGTTACCACATTACATGCTTACAACACCTTAACTGCACGCCACACCCTGGAGATTGCATTGCGGGTATAACACATGCACATTAAAGTACCTGGGCAAAGAGCTTGCTAACGCCACAAACGAGGAGGCACCTAGAAGACACACCACATCGCCACAAGCACATTGAAGACACTGATCAGGGGTGGGAAGAAGTTTCACAACCCAGCTATTGCCCAACAACTGGATGAAGTCTCACAAGTGAAAAGGAAGAGGTTGAATGCTTGAATGTCTGCAGCTGGTGCTCACACTGCCAAAGACCTGGATGCAAGTATCACAACGGCTACCAACTATAGTTTTTTCCGAGTGCATGCACTGATAGAAAGTACAGTGGATATTAAAACTGTTTGTTTTGACTTGTAGTACTTTTTTTATTGTTAGCAACAATCTTAATTGCTAGCTGTAATGATTTATGTGATTCTATTTTTATAATGGCAGTCCTAATAAATACATTTTTAATTGTATTATTGGCTTTTAAAGTCAAAATCGCTGCAAAAAACCATACATTGTAAAAGGTAAAAAAAAAGTGTGATGTGTGTCGATTAGTAGAAAAAGAACAAATACTTTGTTCTTTCGTTGCTTGGTGAATTTGTACCCATATCTGGAAGTTTCATTTAGATTTGTAAAAACATTTTGTTTTCTCTGCATGGCAATACAGTTAAAGTCATATGAGGACATATTAAAATAAAAACATTTATGTTTTTCCTAAAATTCTGGGTGCTGAATTATTTTTGATTAAAAGATATTACAAGAAACAATAAGCTATGTTTCAAATAGTATTGAAAACTGGTAATCCTGTACCTGTATTGTGCATGGAATAGGTTAAATCAGAGGGTTAAAACAACTCCTGAGAAAACAAACATTATTCTTTTGTTAAGGCTTTTTATATTACCATATGGACTTACTTCATTGTTGTGCTGCTTCTCCTCATTAGCAGGGTTTACAGAGTCCAAAGACCCTCCTCTGAATGGCCCCTGTTCTTCAGACTTGTTGACATACATGCCTGTTTCTAGATCAGCAGTAGAATTGCAGTTGTTTCTCAATAAAGTTGTTCTGCACAAGCAACAGCTAAGTTTGAAGTAGATGACAGTTAGTTATTCGAAGGAAACACAGCCTTCTCTTGGCAGCAGAACAGTGCAGTAGTAGTTCAGCTCAGAATGAGTGGCCAGCTGTACTGTTGCACAGAGCAAAATGCTGAGTGTTTATGAAGCCGCAGTGGGTGGGGGGCATGGAGAGGGAGCAGCCATTTATTCCAGCAGAAGAGAGATTAGTACTGGACACGATTAACACACTTCGGGGAAATGCACCACAATGACTGCTTCAAACGTGGCAATTACGTTTTTTTGTTCTTAAATTATTGGTAAGAATTATAGGAAGGATAAAGGCTTACAAAGCACTTTTCCTTTTCCAAAGTTCAACAAGCTTCCAAGGAAAGAAAGCACAAACTAAAAGTCTAATAAAAAAGAGCAACAGCAATGCCATTCAAACATAAAACCAGCCAGAAAGAGGAATAGAAGAAGTAAAGATCTTATGGCGCGTTTCCATTTAGATATCATTGTTTTGGTCTGAATTAACTAGGCCGAAAGGTTCAGTCACCAAACCAAGCTTCGAAATCAATTCGATACATTTGTAATTGCACTGTCAATTTTTGTTTTCACATGCCAACTTTTAAGAGTTTTCTCAAGTTGCACTGTTTCACTGTGGTGGTTTCGAAAATGCTGTTGACGTTGTATTGCTGGCTTGTTCCTTATACAAACTGTACATTTAGTTGTTCTGCTCATCAATCCATGCTATGGAAAGATCTTGTGAGTGTTTCCCTCAATCAATTGTCTTTACATACTGTTGCCAAGGTAGTTATTTCCAACAGCTTTAGTTGGTTATTCACCAATATACCTAGAAAGCATGGAGGGTTAAGGTTTTTACTGTTATGAGCAACCATCATCTTTACTAGTTCTGGCCATCAGTAGCGGTTAGGAGTAACATTTATAAGGTTTCCCCTACTGTAAATGAGTGAGTCAGACATCCTCATGGAATAGTTTAGGATTTGTGGCTGCATTCATCAACTTTATTTGCGTCACACATGCTAATATACTGCATTGTTTTACATCTGTGCATCTACTTGCTTTATATATAGCTGAAGTATGTGTATGTGATTTCTAAATAATTGATTTATATCAAATAGGACATTGACTCCCAATGTTCAAGAAAGAAGTAAAGCCATGTTCTTAAAACTATAACTATTTTAAGTAGTATCTGGCCTCCACCTGGGAACATAACAAAGACTGAGGATGTGGCTTAGTGATTTGCTCTCACACGATGAATGTGGGTTTATTAGGCTAAGAGAGGACAGATGGGATAAAACCACACAAATGTAATGGTTGAGTAGTCATATTGTGTTTAAATCTTCAAGTGAAAAGTCAATATATATTATATCCATGATTGTTTTGTTTTTTTATCTTCTGTATGTGCTTATTTGGCAAAAATTACAATAAAGACGAAATTCAATTGTATTTACTCCATTGTAACAAATTATAGAGGGTTTTTCCAGGAAAAGAGAATTGTTGGTTGCAACGAACAATGTAAATATACTGATGATTTAATTCAATATCTGTATGGCTCTGCAGTTAACCAGCTGTAGGGCCAATGTCGACCGATGGAGCAGTCTTTACTTGCATGTCTCACGGATAACTGACGTAACAAATGCTCCAGTATTGGTTACGGTGTATATATTGATCTTACTTTTACTATTCATCCCTAATATCTTTCATTTGAGGTGAAGGCGAATCCAGCTTAAAGAAAATGTTATGAAAGTCTATGAGAAACTCCTCATCCTTTTTACTTGGTTTTTTCCTCATTGAAAATGTTCCCTAAAAGTTTGAGGTCTTAATTTCTGGTTTAAACATTTTTGCAATACTGTATGATGTTTATCTTGTAAACTATAATCCCTTTTAGAGTCTAAAAGCTGATAAAGCAGGTTGTGCTTTAGAGCAGCTATCTTTTGATTGACAGGTCGTTACCACGCTATTGTCAAATATTTTGAGTTGTCTGTGTATTCTGATTGTGTAGTCAGTTTTTAGTTCATTTGAGTTTATTGTAAGATGACTGATCCTGCTGATCCATTTAAGAGGAGAAGGACCCCCTTCAGTCCAGGGCCCAGGGCACATGTTCACTTCACCCATGCTGTTATCCATCTATGATGAGTAATTGTAATTATATCAAGAGACAGGAAGTCTCCAGCTGGTTCTTTAATTGTGTCTTAAACAGTAGCCTAGTACCTCTAGGAGGCTCCATATGAGACCTGGCATATTTAAACACATTTACAACCGGATCTGAACCAGATTTGAGAAGCTTGATGAAAATCAATCCTAGTGTAATCCACCTGCTTTCTGTTCATACAATTAGAGAACACAGACCTTTGTGCAGAACTGATTGTTTCAGGTATCCAATGTATCCCACTGTTGTATGGTCTCTGTGCAGGGTCATTCCGAAACACATGTGTTTTTTTTTGTTAGTTTATTTTATTATGCTGTAGCCTACTGAAACATAGTAAAATAATTTACATGGATGATATATGTAGCAGCAAATCACTTTTCTAAAAAACTCTGATTGAATGCTACTCTTTGTATTAAACTCAAAAAAGAAGCCAAGAGACTGCTGTGAAGAATAAAATAATCATGTGTATAAAATATATACACATGTATATTCCGAGACTCTCATTTCACTAAGAATGGTAGGGGGGGGCTAAGAATTAGGAAAAGGACACAAATGACCAAAAACTGTCTGCAATATAGGCTGGATTGTACAAGCTTTTGGGAAGACAACTTTTCCGAAATCGTCTTGTAAAGATAGCCAGCACAACTAAAATAAAGTACGAATCTACTTTTCCCCCAAGTCGTGCACATATATATTTGTATGTGATAAAAATGTCTCATGTTGTTTACTCCACATGTATGGAACGCAGCCCTTCTTTTTGGATGTAGGTTGGCTTGTAGGTGTAGGACTCTAGAGGTCTGTATGAAACCGGACGCAGCCGCTCTGGTTCCTGTCGATCTCCGTCATATATCGGGGCTCCCTGTCCGGTACTGCTGCGGTTGCTAGCTGCTTAGCACACTTTAAAACAAAGTTACTCTATATGGTTAGGCGTTTTTTAATTCAGAAGGTTAAACGTAACGTTAAAAGGGAGTATACAACATGCCTGCAGTCTCAAAAGGTGATGGGATGCGTGGCCTGGCCGTGTTCATCTCTGACATCAGGAACTGTAAGTTTGTTTATCACACACACATACACAGTTGTTGGATAGGCATGTAACAAGCTAGCTGGTGTAACGAGGATTAGCTATATGACTGATGGTTTTCAGAACATGTTTCCCATGCCCCTTACTCATACTTTTTGTAACTTCGGCGACCTTAGACGACTTTACTCGACCACTTTGCTGGCTAGCCCACACTTGCTAATTAAAGCTAGCCGCTAGCTTCCACTTGCTAACGTCACGTCGAAGGGCGTGGACCGACGGTTAAATGGAGATAATGCCAAACTGCCCATTTTATTAGCCTTTTGCATTTTAAGTTGGTGTGTTTTATAGTTTTCTGCCAGAAACCAAGCGAATCCTTTCCAACACACTATATATATCTATGTGTTTTTTGTTTCTGCTTTAACGTCACAGCTGACAGTTGAGCCTTTGTGAGGACGTGCACGTATTCAATGATGAACTGAAAATCTGTGGTCAAGGATATTTCACATGTTGCCAGGATCTCTTTCTCCTAACATAGGCTAAAAATCCGCCCAACTATACTTAAAAAACGTTCACCGTGTTTTCAGGCGTCCAGCTAGAGACATTCAGAAGAAATGTCTGTCAGTTGTACGCTGTAATGTTACCATATGCTTTGCTTAACATTTCCTTTCTCCTTAAGTGTTTATTCAGCATTTTAGATTCACTTGCATTTATGATGTGCGCTCAAATGAGGAAACAGATTTCAGTCACCAAAGAAAATACATTATTATGAGGTGACTTTTGCATCCTATATAGCCCATCATGATTTATTATCTTGTTATTATGACCTAGTCTTATAATATAAAGTCATCACCCTGTCATTTGACGGCTTAATGATTTTAATTATTTATGAGATTGATTATTGTAACAATGATAACTGTTTCAGATGATACTGTTCACAGCTGTATCAGAGTACACTTAGGGGCCAAACCAATGCAATGGGATTCCGGATAGTTAGTAAGTGTAATGGCTAGCAGCTACATTATAATCCCCACAGGTGTTTATGATCACTGAGTGCTGATGCGGCATCTGAGCTGCAGAGGTTGTTGAAGACAGACTCACTCTCATTAAAGACAACAACTGTTTGCATCTGCTCACCTCAATCTGTTTCCTCAACACTGAAACGTATCTGTTAACAGTTTCCCTAAAAATCTCTTCTGTTGAGCTGTTCTGTAAACCCTTTCCTAATGACCCTGTTGCCATAACAACACATTACCTAGGTTCCCACGCCTACACTCATAATCAGCGACCCTCTTCTCAAAATGAGGATATACACAAATGGATCTCGAAGTAATGAGGGTTTTTATTGTATACATGTATTTGGAGATAAGTAATGAAATAGTGATCATAGAAAAACATCTACAATTGTCTCTGTAGAATAACAACATGGACTACAATCTCAAAGAATGCTTCCAGCACCTTATTTAAATCCATGACACCAATCATTCAGGCTGTTCTTGGAGAAGATGAAGCTACCCAGTACTCCAAGTATACTAATGAAGTGGTTTCTAGCTGTAGCCATTACCAATATGTCTCTGTATAGTTGAGCTCCACCGTCCTTTATAAGAACCTCATAGAAGAGCCACGATGTTGTATTGGCGGACATATCGTTGTGCATGAGGAACACCTAATGTGGATTTATTTCCTCTTGGCTCATAAAATGAAAAAAACCTCATTGTAAACAAGAATAGGATCTATTCAAATGTCTGAGTATTCACAGCAACATGTAAAATGCTCAATGTCTTGATCTATTTGTAGGTAAGAGCAAAGAAGCAGAGGTCAAGAGGATAAACAAAGAACTGGCCAATATCCGTTCCAAATTCAAAGGTAGGTGAACAACATGGATCAAATTGTACAAGCACCTGCTCTGTTTCTTGATTCAAATCCTTTTCCTTCCATGTCACATGTTTTCCTGTTGCTGTTTAATCTGCTCTGCTAACTCATCTTGTGACTGTGTCCCAGCTTTTATTTATTTATTTTTTCCTCACGTTTTTTTTATGTTTCTGCGCTGTAAAAAGTCCACACACCTCTCTGTGAATGTGTGTCCTGTTGTGTGTTGTTTCTCCTGCCACCTGTTCCATGCTGCCTATAATTAGTTTGCTCCAGAATGAATCTGCCCAGCATTCAGGCCTATGTTCATGATAATGTGTTCTCTATGGGCCCTTCAGCCTGCACAAGGCCAACTTTTCAACTTGATCAATGATCTCATTGATTGTTTATGTTATGTGCTCTCTCACAGTATTAAGTTACAATTTTGGCTACGTCAAATCCAATGCTGGAAAGTTGTAGGGGAGAAGGTCTCAGATATTGTTTGACTATCCATCAAGCCCTTAGGCCCCGGCCACACGAGGACGCATACGGCTAAACGCATAGGATTAACGCAAACGCAATCGCAAAAAAGCTTCCGTCCACACGCAATGTTCACCGGATACTGTCTGTCCACACAGACAGCTCCGTTTAGCTCCAACCGCCGGAGAAGCTGCAGTGCATATGCAGGAGCCTGTACGTGGCGCTGTAACTNGAAAAAATGAAACTTTGTAACATGTTGAAATGCTTAAAGTGGACCTATCATGCTATTTTTAGGCAATAGCATAGGTCTCAGATATATAAAAATATGTAAAAAACATGTCTATGAAGTGTTTTGCTCAAAATACCAAACAGATCACCCATTCTAGCGATGCCTCATATCCCTCTATTTCACTTCGTGTTTGAAAAGTGCTGATTCTGGGTATAAAGCTTTAAAAAAAAAAGAAGAGGAAATTGATTTTTTTTTTAAGGAGGGGGCTGAGCTCATGCGGGAGATTCTACCGGCAGATACTGCGGTGATGAAACGCTATATCATGGATTATCAAGGATTATTTCTGAAACAGTATGGAGCTCAAAGGCTTTCTCTCTTGCCGGTTATACCACAAGGCGAGTTCGTAGTAATCAGCAGCGAACCACTTTAACACTTCAACACGTGTATTTCGGTTTATTCGCGGCATTCTTTTTGTTATTCTACAGTATTGTTGTTTTATAGTTATTTGTTAATGTATACAACCCAATTTGTGTTCTTTGAAATTGAAAAGGATATTGCATTGTGTTTGTTACTTTCGTTGCAGTTGTATATGTCTTAAGTGTAATTTGGCTTGGCTTCCTATTTTGTATGGACATCCTTTTATTTTGAAGGAGAGTTAGCGCTGTTGACAGGAAGTTGTTGTTGCTATGGAAACAAGGTGACGGAGATTAAAGGAGAAAAGTAATATCTACATATAAAGACGGAGAAAGTAAACGATAACGTTTATGGTCAAGTGTTAGCACCCCCGAAGAGGCACAAGCTCTTACATTGATATTGGAGATTTCAATACATTTAAAAATTTAAAAATTTAAAAAAACGAAATTGAAACCCAATAGTACTCCAACGAANATGTTCTCTGCGTCTAAAGTGCAGATTCAACCGGCTTATCTAGGATCACAGGGTGTCCGCGGGGTCTTAAAAAGTATTAAAAGTTGATAAATCAATTTAGCATAAATGAAGGCTATTAAAAAGTATTAAACAGCATTTTCCAAGGTATTACCTTGTGCAGCTTGTTTTCAATAAGTATATCAATTGTCCAAAGAGGTTGTATTCTACAGTCTGCCTGAATGTAATCATGGCGTAGGTGTGTAGTGTGATTCTGTGTAGTTTATTTATGGCATCCCGTTGGGTTTGACGTCATTTGAACAGGACATCTCACGCTCACTGCTTGATGGCGCGCGAAGGCCCGTTTACGCCGGTTGTTAAACAACATCGTTATGGGGAAATGCAAGTCTGCGTCCAAATGGTTGGAAGATAAGGAGGAAGGACAATCAATACTGTATATAGTCAATGTGAGGTAAAGTGTGTCGCCAAGGTAACCGGTTAAAACTCCAAGTGGCGATGAGATCTTAACATGAATGGAAAGGGTCTTAAAAAAGGTCTTAAAATGTTTTAAAAGGTTTTACCCTGAAGTCAAATGTAAAACCTTTTAAGATTACATTTAAGATTTAAGATTCCAATGGAAGATCTGATCCAGGGTATATGCAGGAATTTCCTGCATATACCCTGGATCAGATCTTCGATTAGAATTGTATTAGTATATTTTGTTAGTGTATCATCATCGGTGAATTTGGGTACAGTGTTGCATTTAATATCTATTTGGTCACCAATTTATTCTTACCATATGTCTAGTAAGAAGGTCCACTTTTCCACGCTCTATGATTCTACTTCCAATATCTAGAATAGTCGAACAGTGACATACATTATTTTAAAGATTGCTTGCTTGCTCTTTTGCACTTTTTGCATACCATGTATTTTGTTTTTGCTATGTTTGTAAAATGTAAACCTCTTAAATGTTTTATGTGAGGGACTGTGGATGGAAAGTAGCTCAAAGCTAAATCTGGCACTGTTACGCTTGATACATTTTAATGTTTTAAGTGTTCATCACTGTGCATTGCCCCTGCCAAATAAACAATTAAATGAAAATAAAGATCTGTATGTAAACAAAACATTTTCCTCACTTTTTTTGTGTTGCTCTGCAGCGACAGGAGCAGGCGTCTGAGGAGAACGTGAGCCCCCCCGCGGGCCCTCAGCTGACCCTGGCCTACGAGGACAGTCAGATCCTGGAGGACGCGGCCGCGCTCATCATCCACCACGTCAAGAGGCAGGCCGGCATCCAGAAGGAGGACAAATACAAGATCAAGCAGATCATCTACCACTTCGTCCCCGACATGGTGTTCTCTCAGAGGGGCGAGCTCTCCGAGGTGGAGGAGGAGGAAGAGGAGGAGGAGGAGGAGGAGGAAGAGGAGATGGATCTTGAGGAAGGCGCCTCTAAAAAGCACAACGGCGTCCCCGGTAGCCGGAGCCTGTCGAAGTCCAAGCTGCTGTTCAGCAACACGGCGGCGCAGAAGCTACGCAGCTCCGACGACGCCTACAACCTTTTCTACGTCAACAACAACTGGTACATCTTCCTGCGGCTGCACCAGACGCTGTGCTCGCGGCTGCTCAAACTCTACGGACAGGCGGAGCGGCAGATCGAGGACGAGCTGCGAGAACGAGACTGGGAGAAGGAGGTGCTGGGACTGAAGAAGGAGAAGAACGACAACCCAGCCATCCAGCTCAGACTGAAGGAGCCCAGTGAGTCACAACACACACTCAGTTCTTCATAGGGAAGGAAATAAACACAATACTGTGTGGTTTAATTCAGGAGAAAGGCATTTGTTTGTTTTACATTTGGCCTGCGTTTTTGCTCTCCATCACATCATTCCTATCCCTTTTACCCTGGAGAAAAGTATTTATAAAATGTGTGCAGGCTATTAGGGCTGTACCCGAATATTCGTTCGTTGGAGTACTATTGGGTTTCAATTTCGTTTTTTTAAATTTTTAAATTTTTNAACTACCTAAATTAGTTATAAATATGTTTATTTTTACTGTCGGCCGGGTCTCGGACAGCGTCAGTGTCTGTCTCATGCAGCAGCTGATCCTGTAATGAGTGACCCGGCCGACAGTAAAAATAAACATATTTATAACTAATTTAGGTAGTTTCAGAGGTAATTCAAATAGCTAAGGGCGATGATCTGACTTGAAGTGTGTGTTTTGCTCCGTTCACCGCTGCATCACTGCGGGAGGAGCTGCAGGCGAGCAGAGCTGCGTGTCTCCGTTCTGTCAGATTAGACTTCACTCGCGTTTATGTCCATATCGAGAGAAAGATAAATAATCTGAATTCAGTGTGCAGTTTACTTTGACGCGGGGGTGAGCAGCAGAGGTGGGGAGAGGAGGGGCTATTGCCTCATCATTATCAGAAAATGATCGTATAGGGTTTACACACGGAGCCGTTGGACCCCCCAGAGCGTTGCGTATGCCGTTCTATCCACCTTGGGACCCGTTATTGTTTCCGCAGGTGTTTACTGTCATATTCGGTCGTCTTAGTGTGGCCGAATGGTCTATATGACACTAAACAGTAAAGCAAACGACCGTTTTCGTTCTCGTGGGGCCGGGATTTTAGCCTGAGCTAGCTCTGTTACTTCCAGGTCGTTGGCAGCAGGTCCCGCATCGGCTCCGCCTCTTTGCCCTTATTTGGATCAGGCTGGAGCAGTTAGACTATGACATCACTGATGAGCCGTTAGTGGCCGACTCCGCCTACTAAGAGCTTCTCTGCAACTCTGCAGAATCCTATGTGTGACGTCACGGACACTACGTCCATTTATATATACATTCTAAGGAGTGGAGCAGTACGGTACTTAAAGGGGACCTATTATGCAAAATGCACTTTTTGATGTCTTTTATACACAAATATGTGTCCCCGGTGTGTCTCACAAAGTGTCAGACAACAAAACCCTCTCTTTTTTCCTCCGTACCCATATCTCAAAAAATATGAGACAATACAAGCAGATCCAGAATTTTCGCTCCTATAACGTTATTGGCGACATCCAGCCGACGTGACACGTCCCAACCTATCGTCTCCGGCACACGTGACACGCCCCAACCTATATTCTGGGGTGGGGAGCGGGCCATGGAATGGGCCGTCGAAAGGGGGCCGCAGAGGGCCGTGGTAGGCGTTGTGGCGGATGAAGACAACATCCGCCAGCCGTAGAAAGCTGGGTCGCTGTGCTGCAACGTGGGGACGGGCGTGAATATCCCTGGTTGGCTGTTAGCCGGTATTGACGGCCGCTAGCTGTAAGCCGGTAGCCGTTGGTCAGCCCCGGAGTCTCTGCCGCTGCGTGTAGTGGCCAGCACCCCAGGGGTAAATCGCCAGGCGGCCAGGAAGAACCGGTCAGCTTCTTCGGCTAAAGCGCGGGGCTCCACACTAGCCGTGTTAGCGAGCGCAGCC